TATAGTTGTCTTAGCATCATAATATGTGTGATAGTTTGGGCAGTGCTACAAATCTTATCAATATGGCATGCGAGAGTCTGTGAACTGGATATAAAAAAAACAGTGCTTGCACGTAGGGGGTCTTACTTTGGTTTTTAAGGGTGCAGTGGAATGACTTACTGTTGTGGGTCAACTCTGGCTACGAGAAACCAACAGAGGTCCGCCTAAGAGCAGACAGACCCTGCATCACATGGAACCCCTGGCCACTCAAGGGATGCGATGCCTCACGAAGAACAAATTGGGATAGGGAGAGGTTCGAGCGGTTGTCTGCGGCTTGATCGTCACTCACGGCAAACGAATCAGCTATACCTTGCGCGGAAAGGCCGCCACCCTAAGACGGGGTCTGCTTGGGGGGTCCTTTTCGAGGGATCCCAGACGCCACTTCTGTGCGAAAGTGTAGCTGATTTGTTTTCCGTGAGTTAAGATCATGCGCAATGGCCCCTCGTAGTTTGCGCGCTCGGAGACTGCTGCTCACACGCTGGGTGGGTTGCTCGTGGCTCCGTCGTGCCCCTGGCATGCAGCCGCAACCGCACACCCTCCTCCTTTTCCTGCTCCTCCTGCTCCTGCTCCCCCTCCTCCTCCTCCTCCATCCTCCTCCTCCCCCTCCTCCTCCTCCTCCTTTCCTCGATGGCCTCCTCCTCCCCCTCCTCCCCCTCCCCCTCCTCCTCCTCCTCCTCCTCCTCCTCCTCCTCCTCCTCCTCCTCCTCCTCTCCTCCTGCGGGGGCGCACGTCTCTCCGCCGTCTCCGCCGGCATGCGCACACAAAATTGTTCATACCTCCGTGCGTGTTTCGTTAGTACGTGTTATTATTGGGTTTCGTTAGTACGTGTTATTATTGGTCAGCGAGCGGCAGGTGGCTCTGAAGCAGAAGCCACGTCTAGAACGAGTCCTGGCTGTCCTCGAGAACCGATTGACAATGCAACGATTCCCCAGATTGCCCTCACGAACGATTGTCATCAATAATGATTTCCAAGATGAGCCGAATGAATCCTGATTGTCCTCAAGAACGAATGCCCTCAAGAACGAAAGATTTCCAAGAAGATAGTCTTCAAGAACGACTGTCCTCAAGATGAACCGAATGATTCCTGATTGTCCTCAAGAGCGATTTCCAAGTTGCGCGTGCAACTGCAGATACAGATGTGCTCGAGCTCTGCCAACGCTCGTGACTGGACGGCCAGCTAGCTCTTCGGCCAAACGGCCTAGTGACGCTTGGACAGTTATGGTGGGATTATTGGGTACAACATCGAGGCAAGTTCAAATCCACTGCTTTGCAGAACGCTTTGCACCAGATGGTGATCGGTGTCCCTTTGCGTGGGAATCAACCAGAGCGCCTTCCCACCAACAAGTTGGTCCAAGCTCATGGGAAGCGCGTGCAAAGAAATCGACATTGTAGACAATTGGTGGAGTGCCCTGGGGCCTTCACGCGGGCTTGCAATACTCCTGAAGGTGGCACTGAACAAGCAACCGAGTTTGCGACGGTCATTAAAGATGTGATGACAATGCGCTGTGGTGGGCTGAGTTTGGGTGCGCATGCTCGGTTGAAGAAGCGTCCCCGCCACCGAACGCAGCCCAAGCACATTCGCAGTGCAACTGCAAACGTATCTATGATCTCGGAACTGACAAGCATGTCGACATAATCTGCCATATACGATGATGGCCGCGATGCCCACGCATTGGCAGAACCAAACACGCCAACACCGCATGCACGAGGAGCTCCAAGAGAAGTCCCGCCAGGGCGCCCCGAGGCAAGAATCGCTACTTCGCTTTGGTTGTCTTAGCCAATGTTTCGGCTTCTCGACGTTCCGAGTTTCGGACGCTCTAAGACGGCCTAAGAAGACGAAACCCACCCAAGACGGCCAAGGGGGCACCCAACGCGGCCCCAATACGGCCCTAGAGGGCGCCAAGACGGCCCAAGAGGCGCCCATGACTCGGCCCATGACGGCCCCCAAAGACCCCAAACGACCCCAGGAGTGGCTCAAGAGGGCGAACGCGACCGGATTTTGGACGAAAAATGAAACATACACCCATCATGTTCAAAACATACAAACAACCTAAAACATCGTCCCTGGACTATTCTTGGACTATGTTTGCATATCCCCCCTGTAGAGGGACGGGCCCGACTTCAATCTGGTACTTGCGAGCGGACCCACCGAGCTGCACTGCAGCTTCAGCTCGGCGCTGCGCCTGTCGGCCGACGCGCGCGCCCCGGACGCCCCACGAAGACACTTTCCCACGGCCGCCCTCGCAATGCCATGTGCTCCATGCCGCCGTCGGCCGACTGCGGACAGTACCGCACCTGCGTGGCTGGTCGCCCGCACCGTCCACACCAGCCTGGACCAAACAAGTGTGGACGCCAAGCTCAAGGCGTGAGCCCAAATGGCTACGGAGCAGGAAGAGGAGGGAGAAGAGGAGAAGTAGGAGAAGTAGGAGGAGGAGGAGGAGGAGATGGAGGAAAGGGAGAGGGGAGGAGGAGGAGGAGGATGAGGAGGATGAGGAGGATGAGCCGGAGGAGGAGGAGGAGGAGGATAAGGAGGAGGAGGAGGAGGAGGAGGGGGAGGAGGTGGAGGACCTCAACGAACATCCTAGATACCTCCGACCCTCAACGCAGGCACCACGGCGGACTGTACCGAATGACCCCCCTAGCCGTACTCGCGGAGCCACATGCATGTGTACGGATGCCGCTTGCAGCAACGGTTGATGTGATCGTATCCTCCCCCTACATTGACCCACGAATCTCGTCACGCCAGGGAGCCAGGACGGCCAAAGGAAAAACATGCCGTACGGTAGGAGCTCGACCACAAGAAACCTTCCACAAGAAACCCAATCCTGAGACCTCAGGGCGTCCATCGCTCTCTATGGTGAGGGAACGTCACGCTTTTCATAGCAGAACCATCGAAACCCAAGAAGCCCAGGGCACCCTGGAGGCAAGCAGGGTGATTCTTGGCACGGGCTTCCACTGTGCATCCCATACCCTCTGTGTCCCGAGGGAGCTTTTGGGCGGCCCGTAGAATATTACAGAAATCCTCCCAGGCAGCCCTGGGCAGTCTACCAGGCCTCAACGTGCCAGGGGCATGGTGCCGGAACGATGACCCCTCCTCCTCCTCCTCCTGGGGCGGTGCGAGGGCATCCCCCCAGGAGCCCCCATCCCCGCGGCCGCTTCTTGGCAGATCGCGCCCCACGAGGGCCCGCATCGGGCACTGGAGTCCACAAGCAGCAGCCCCCCGCGAGGAAGACCTACACGCGCGACAGGCGGGGCCGACGAGAGCGCCTCGCGCCCCCACTTCTAAGGACGTCAGGGCGATGCAGGCCGCTCGCGCGGCAGGCCGCGAGGGAACCTGGAGCCTACGCGCGGCCTCGGGCGGGAAGCTCACGCGCGACAGCCCGCACAGTCGACGCTCGTGTTCTAGGCTGCCCACATGGATTACACTCGACCAGGATAGTAAGGTTGCGTGGTAAGCATGCAAGGGCCTTGGAACGCCATGTTGACGTTTTCCGTGCGGAGCGCAGCAGAATGCCGAAGGATGCCGAATCCCGAGGGGGCAATGATGCAAGGGTAGCCGTGGAAAGTTGCCCCATCCTTGCTATCATGGTTGACTGTATTACCCCACCGCCGGCTTCAATCAGAACGCACACTCAGCAACGACTCTCCTCGCAGGCGCGATGGCCTTGCCCAACGACCACATCAGTGCCCCGTTGACGCGCAGCAGCTGCTGCCTGCGCGCCCACTGCCGCTCTCGTCGGCGGCTGTCCGCAGGATGGGCCACCAGCCCCTAAGCAGTGTGGCCTGGACATCTGCCGTTCACATATCAAATCCCGCTGAGAACATGTCCAAATTACGGCTGAGCTCTAATTACATGTCCACGCTGCAAATGACAGAACTGGCGTAGCCTACAAGAACAGGAACATCCTTTTGTATGCACCGTGTCTCAACCATCCTGACTCCAATAAGCACATACACATTGTGCAGCCATCCACAAGCATAATGAATCGATGTGTGCACGTTGCGCAACCGTGCATTTATAAAAGCACGCACGCACCTGAATACAGGCATCCACGCACTCAAACTGCAGTGTGGTCAACGCATGCGCTGTACACGCACATGCGCACCATCACCATTCGTGCAGTCATGTACTGACATATTCATAACCTGTACGATGCATGCGCGTACATGCGTATGCACACGCGCGGGCAAACATGCACACACGCGTATGCAGGCATCCGTATGCACACTCGCAATCATGAATACATGTCCTCCATGTTAGGCACATGTCATAGTTACACTGGTGCACAACATGTGTCGTGGGATTACAAATCAGAGCGCGGCGCTACATCCAGGAACTCTGCTGCGTATTATCCAACATGATGCGTCCGAATTTCGCCGCCAATCCCACCAGCCCTTTAGGGCGTAGGTGGTCTAGAGCGTTTCCTCTGCCAACCCCCCTTCTTTCCCTTCGGGGAGGGGTTTACCCCTCCCCTTACCCCTCCCCACTGACCTGGACGGGGCGTTCCGCGACGCGTTGGGACGCCCAAGATGGCCCAAGACTGCTCCAAGAGCGAAAAGGCGAGAAAGCACAAAACATTGATTTTCCTTAGGTTTTGGAAGGATTTTGGCCTCTTGGGGGGGCCCAAGAGGCGATCCGAGGCACTCTAGAGGGGCGAGGCTAATTAAGGCTCCCCCCTTCTTTGATATATATTCCCAACATGGCCCCAAGAGCGCCCCGAAGGCTCCCAAGAGCGCCCCAAGAGCGCCCCAAGAGCGCCCCAAGAGGGCCCCAAGAGGCGCCCAAGATGCCTCCAAGAGGCTCCCAAGAGACTCCCAAGAGGCCCCAAGAGAATCCAATATGGCCCAAGACGGCTCCAAGAGCGAAAAGGCGAGAAAGCAAAAAACAATGATTTTCTGTAGGTTTTGGACGGGTTTTGGCTTCTTGGGGGGGGGCCCAAGAGGCGACTCGAGGCACTCTA